TCGTCCATTTTGGGGATTGGGGCCTGCACGTGCATGTACATTAAGTTCCCGAAATTTCAGCCCCGCAGCTTTTATAGGTCCTGAGATGAAAGTGCTTGACAGACGCACACACAGACACACGGACACAGACAATCTCTCGTCAATATGCGTTTTTCGCATTGCAGTGCTGCAAAAAACGCATAAAAATGAAAAGGGGAAAGAGCAGGGTGGACGAATAAGAACGTAATATATCATTATCTGCTTAATACGCACCTAAAAGGACAGAGATGATAGTAACAGCACTAAAAGAAAACAAAGAGACTAAAAAAATAGTATTGGTTTTAATAATCTAGAAATAAGCGGCGCACACTAGGGCAGCTGGTGTGAACGTGCGTGTTGTGCAATTCCGTTCACCGAACGATTGCCTGCTAATAATTTTCACTGCTTTGCACTGTGGTCTGTGCAAAAATAGTTAAAATGTTGTCTGGTTCTTAATTTGCGGAATTTCCCACTAAAAATTTCACGCATACGAGATAATAATTTCTCTACCAAAACTTTCACGAGGCCGTACATGGTACTCAGGCGAGCGTGAAGGCTGAATCCAAATTTGCGAGGGCGTACGTTGGTAGAGGAAATCACCCTAAAATTTCAGATTCCCAAATCCCGTGATCCCTGAAATAATAATTTTCTCCGCCGAAAGTTTCACAGGGCCGTAAGTGATGCTCAGACGCTCGGAAAGCTGAATTTAAAATTGCAGGATTGCATGTCGATAAAAAACATTACTGGAAAATTTCAGCTTCCTGGCTTTTATGGTTTCCGAGATAATAATTTCCTCGTCAAAATTTTCGCGAGGTCGTAGGTGATAGAGCGCGGGAACGCAGAATTTGAATCTGCAAGATCGTAAATGAGTAGGGGTCATTGCCCTAAAATTTCAGCTTCCTAGCTTCTGCGGTTCTCGAAATAATAATTTACTCGCAAAAATTTTCGCGAGGCCGTTCATGTTACCCGCGGGCAGGAGAAAGCTAATTTAAATTTTCTGGGTAGCACGTGGGTAGGGGAAATGCCCACAAAATTGCAGTTTTCTAGGTTCCTTGGTTCTTGTAATAATAACTTTATCCGCCCAGACTTTTACGGGGCCGTACCTGTTATCCGCGGATACGGGGAGGCTGAAATTAAATTTGCGGCGTCATACGTGGGTGGGGAACATTTCCCTAAATTTTCAGCTTCCTAGCTTTTGTGGTTTCCGAGTTGAAAGTTGCGGAGAAGTTGCTGCGGACACCGTGACAATATGCGTTTTGTATAGCTGTTACATAGCACAAAACGCATAATAAAATTAGGAAAAGATAATTACTGAGAAGGAATGTTTCGGTCCATTAAGTCTACACATTATTTTTTACAGTATAGTGAGTACAACAAACGCTCTGAAGTGCAGCTTCCATCACTTTGAGAAATTGCGGACCTAGTAACTGTTGTAATTTATGGGCCAGTGGTATTTTCACAGGAACTGTTTAGTTCATCAACTCATTGTTAATTATAAATTGTTAGTTACGTTTCCAGTAAATCCCACTGTTGCCAGTTTTACTGTTTGGGATACCTAGTACAGTTGTTAGCTCATGTCATTGTTCTTCAGCTGTGTAGCTGGCAGTTTTTCCTTTTCCTCATTCACTGTCGTATCGCCTAATGGTATGTCTTCTGGCGAACCTGAGTTTTGTTTCGCGTGCTGAAGTGCTTATTTGCTTAACATTTATCTCGGCAAAAATATTTAGTGCCTCGAACTTTACCAGTGTTAAGCCACAGTGATGTTGTTGCTCCCTTCCATTCACCTTTCTTATCACTCGATGAAATTTGACTGAAAAACATTCTCATTTAGCGCTGTCACGAATAGTGATTCAATCTGATGATCTGATTAATGCCAGTTTACTGCTAGGTCAAGTCAAGATTCCGATTACAGTCAGGCTAAGACGTTGAAGTTGACCTTAGAAAAGGCGTTTTTTCAAATTACTTGGCTGTTTTTTGGACGATTTTTATTTCAGAGTTCCATTATTCTTGACTCTCGCGAAGAATCTAAAATTCAGAGTTTTGTTGCAAGTGCATTATAGAAATTTGCGCTTTTTGTGATTACAGGAACCACGTCTGTTGATCGTTTCTGATCCACGCGTTGATCATCAAGCAGTTACGGAAGCGTCCTATGTTGGTGTGCCAGTTATCAGCTTCTGCAACACGGATTCGCCACTGAAATTCGTTGACATCGCTATACCATGCAACAACAAGGTCAGAACCTTTCAGTCTAATGAATTTTACAAGAAGTGCTATACACTCGAAGTCGAATCTTGCCCAACACAGTGTACCAAAGAACCGCTTGAAAGTTTCTGCGGACTTACCTGAATATAACAGGTCCAGTTCAGGAAGAATAGAAACTATGCCAGCTGGGAGATATGGGAAAAGCGGTGAGATAGAAATTGTTTGAAGTGAAAAAGCAGCTGTTATCTGTGTGAAATTTTCAGGGTGCGCAGGCAATAGGCCTGATGTGGTGGTTGCTTGCACGCGAGGTTCTGCTGATTAAGGGCAAAATGACGCGACAGACCGGCTTTGTGCTCGACGACAAGGAAATAATGCCCGATCTGTATTTCTACCGTGACCCAGAAGAGCAGGAGAAGGAGGAATTGGCTGAGCCTCGTGAAGTGAAAGAGCCATGGCCTGGAGTTGCGGTGCCGGAAGTCCCGAGAGTTGAAGAGGTTGTAAGATCCGTTGGAATGGTATAATTTTGCTTGGTTAATTTGTTTCGGTTCATTGCGAAGTTTATCATCCGGTTAATACTTGCTGCTGAAACCTCTTTCCTTCTTCCCTTTGCTTAAAATCTTTCATGCACTTTCCTTTTTTTGACAGTTGTCGGAAAAAATTTGTGCATGTCTTTTTATGCGTTTTTTGCAGCTATGCAATGCAGAAAACGCATATTGACGAGGGGTTGTCTGTGTGTGTGTGTTCGTGTGTCCGTGCATCTGTGTGTCTGTGTGTTCGTCTGTACCGATTTTTCATCTCGAGACCGGCAAAAGCTACAGGGCTG